CTCATTTGCAGATTTATTCGGCAGCTACTGATCACAAGTTGAATGCTAGTTGTTTTGTAATTCCAAGTAATATTGGATATTAACCTCAGGTCAAAATAAACGCAAGGCAAATTCATATTCCTAGTTTCATTACATTAGCGGATTCTCGTTATGCAATTCCCAGCCCAGTTCATTTATTGATCGGCGCTGATTTGTATTCTGATATTCTTTTAAATAATACAGTCTCTCTTGGCCCAAAGCTACCAATGTTACAGGAAAGTCTTTTTGGTTACATAACCTTTGGTAGGGTCCCAAGTTCAGCGATTAGTAAAGGATATCATCACTCCACATATCTTAATAATTTGGTCACATGCCATATCAATAATGTTTCTGACACCCCCCTCTTGTCTGATGAAGTGTTACATGGATTAGTGGAAAAATTCTGGGAGTCTGATCAACTTCCACAGATTCAGGATTCTGTAGATACAGACCACCCCGCATAAACTCAGTTTTTAAAGACTGTACAAATTCTTCCCTCAGGTCGATACAAAGTCTCCTTGAATTTAAATCGTCTTATTAGTGATATTAAATTATCATGCTCTTTACCAGCAGCTAAGGCTCGCTTTCTCCAATTAGAGAGGAAGCTACACTCTGATCCACAACTCTTTGATAGTTATCGCAAGATTATTCAAGATTATTTAGCCAATGACCAGATTAAAAGAGTACCTTTAAAGCCCCTAACCTCAGATAATAGGCTAAATTATTATTTATCCCATTTTCCAGTCAGAAAAAATGACTCTAGTACAAATGTACGGCTAGTATTTGATCCAAATAATAAAACTCCTTTAGGTTGTCTTAATGATCAACTGGATAAAGGGTTTTTAACCCAACCTCTTCTTATTGATATTCTTTTAAGATTTCGCACATTCACTCAAGTTTTAATAGCAGATATCCAATGTATGTATATGCAGATATGCGTAGACAGTTACGAGTTACACCTACTCAATTTTCTCTGGCGTGACTCGCCAGAAATGGCATTCAATGCATTTCAGCTTACTAGACTTACTTACTTTTGGTTTATGCTCATCTCCATTTCTCGCCACTAGGGTTCTCAAACACATTGCGGACAATAATAAGGATGATTTTCCTTTAACCTGTGAGGCTCTCTTGTATTCTACTTATGTAAATGATATTTTAGGCGGATGTGACTCTTTAGAAGAATTAGACCTCTTGTTCTCTAAACTTAAAATCTTGTTAGGTAAACACGGTTTTAATCTCCATAAAGTTTCTTCGAACAACGAAGAGTTTTTGAGAAGACATGGCCTCAAAAATTCGACGCCCTTAACTCATAACTTAGGTGATTCTTCTTCGAAAATCCTCGGAGTTAAATGGAATCAACAATCAGATACATTTTCATTTTCACCACCAAATTTTGATTTAGGCCAGTCAATCACTAAGAGAAAGGTGCTTAGTATTCTAATGTCTACTTTCGATCCAATGAATTTAGCTGGTTATATCACTGCCTTTTCCAAAATTCTTTTGCAACGTTTATGGCAGGCTAAACTTAGTTGTGATGAACCAATCTTCGATCCAGAATGGTTAAAGGATTGGAAAATTTTACTTGATGGTTTTCAATCCATTCCACTTTTAAAATTCCCCAGATGTTTAGTATTGGATAAACAAATTATAGATGTTCAACTTCACTCCTTCTGTGATAGCTCCCTTAAGATATTTGCAACATGTACTTATCTGCGCGTAGTATACGAGGATTACTTTGTCTTCTCTCGTTTAGTATCTTCCAAGTCTCGAATAGCTTCTGCTAAGCAAAATTTTACGATACCTCGCTTAGAGTTGAATGCAGTGTTGATCGGAGTTATTTTAACTCAATCAGTTTCAAATGTATTGAGGAGGAATTGGCCGATCGCACTAACTCATATTTATAGCGACTCGTTAGTAGCTCTTAGTTGGATTTTGAATAAAAGGCTTTCGTTGAATCCTTATGTTCATAATCGTGTGCAGAAGATTATTGCCCTAAGTAAGGATTACTGTTTTCATCACATTCCGTCTCAACTAAACGTAGCAGATATTCCGACTCGTCCCAGGGATATTACACGCAATTCCACACTCTGAATATTATGGTTGTCAGGCCAAGAGTTTCTTATTAAGCACCCTCTTGATTTTTCTCAATTTTAGATTATTCTTATCACGCAAAACTTACCCGAGATTCGGTCAACACAAGTTACGTTAACCACGGCCTCCTCTGAAATACAACTGAATGAAACCTTAGAATTAATTTTCTTTAAGTTTTCGACTTTCTCCCGCATGCAAAGAGTATTGGCCTATGTTTCTAGATTTATCAAAAATCTGAAGAATAAAAGCTCTAATCTCCCATTGTTCTCATCTTCCCGACAGAATGAATAAATTGAAGTGGCAACTTTAAACATTGTACGATACCTTTAATTACGATCATTTCACAGGGAACTATCAGAATTAAAATGTGGAAAACCTCTCTCGAACAGATCGCTTAGGCAACTAAATGTTTTTTATGATCAGAAGTGTTCGACACTACGTGTTGAAGGTAGACTTTCCAACGCTCCCCATCTCTCTTACAATGAGAAACATCCCATGATTCATCCTAGTAAGAATCGAATTGTATCTTTGATGATGTATCAAATCCACGTCTCCTTACTCCACAGTGGCCCACAAGTGTGTCTGTCTCATTTCAGAATGGAATTTTGACCTTTATCGGGTTTAACTCAAATAAAACAAGTAATTCACAACTGCGTGGTATGTGGTATGCCACAGGTTTAAAGCAAAACCAGTCACCCAGTTTATGTCTGATCTTCACTATAACCGTGTTTCAGGTACAAGACTCTTTCAATTTGTATCAGTGGACTATGCTGGAGATTTTACGTTGAAATCATCTCACCTCCGTACATATCCTCCTTGAGCTCGTAACCGGTCTCACTAGTCAGGGCTATATTTTGGCACTAAAAAGATTTATAGCACGAAGGTCACTCCCATCATGTATCTAGTCTGATAATGCGACTAATTTTTATGGGGCAAAAAACGAGCTCCATGAACTCTATAAATTTTTTATGAATGAAGACCACACAACATCCATTAAAAACTTCGCAGCTCAGAACCAAATCACTTTTAAGTTCGCTACCCCTCTTAATCCTGCAAGTGTAGGAATACATGAAAGAGGCATTCAGTCAGCTAAGTTTTATCTCCGTCGTGTGATCGGAAACGCAGTGCTCACTTACGAATCCTTCAATACAGTACTATGCCAAATTGAGGCGATTCTTAACTCTAGACCACTATTTAGAATCTCAGAATGTCCAGAAGACCTTTCCTTTCTGTACCTTCCCATTTTCTAGTAGGCCAATCTCTATTAGCCCCACCGGGGCCTAGTAATATTTTAGAGATCCCAGAAAACAGACTGTCCCTCAGAAATTGTTGCAAATGCAATGATTGTTCTGGAAGAAATGGAGTGTCTCATACCTCCAAACCCTACAATCTCGATCCAAGTGGTGTACTGTTACTCAAAGTCCCGTATAAGTCGATGATATAGTACTCATAATAGACGCCCATCTACCCCCGCTAAAGTGGGAGCTAACAAGAATCTTAGAGCTAATACCAAGCAATGATGGCCTGGTTCGAACTTTACGACTTCGGACAAAAAACACAACTTGTCTTAGATCCATCAGGCAAGTAAGTAAAGTTCCTAGCCCCACCTAATATAGTTTGTATTCTTCTCTTTTCCAGTTTCATATGTTTAGCCTTTGTCCCTCTGGCGGGGAGTATGTTCGAATAAATCCATTCGAACATATAAAACTATTTATTAATATTTTTAATTTAGTATTTAACTCCACTTTTGACAAAGGTGCACTCACTCTAAAACAATGATACAAATTTTTGTAAAACGATTGTCAAACATCTGTCAAATATTTGTCAATAGTTTTTAGTATATAGTTTTTTGTGCGCTTTAAAAGAAGACTCCCCGAAAAATCAGGCACCCCGCCTACTCTCAGAGTGAATTTTAGTCCCGCACGGTGCAACAACTCTGTTGGACAGAAGTCCTTAAGAATCGGTCAAGGATTTAATCCTCAAAAAGTAGTAGTAAAGTGCTCTCCAAATCGGTCAACGATTTGTCCCGCTTGTTAGAAGTTTTTTTTTGCATTTGGAAGCCTTAGACCCACGTGGCTGGTACATCTCTTAATCCAGGATCTTCGTGATAGTGACGTGAATGGACAATAACCCGCACATAGACGTTTTTGAAAGACTTGTTAACTGGTAATTAATATTTATGTATTTGTACTAATTTTATTTATGCTATTTGTTTTTCGCTCTCTATAATAAATCGTTTTGTACCTTTGGATAGCTTTTTGAACAGTTAGTGTTAAGACATTCTTATATTACAGGTAAGAGCTCTCATATTTTGTAACCAGCAATCTATGCTATACTCTTTATCTAATTTTAAGACATTCTTCATGTTTGTCCTATTGTGTAGATACTAATTTTATCTACAGCATCATTAGACCAAGCCAATTACCATGGTCATCACCCATATGGATCGTGCCAAAAAAACACAGATTTGTCCGGTAAAATAAAGTGGAGAATAAAGGTAGACTATAGGAAGGTCAACGAGAAAACAATAGAACACCGATATAAGATTCCTCATATTACCGATATCCTCGACAAATTGGGACGATGTCAGTATTTTACCACCCTCGACTTAGCGAGTGGATTTCATCAAATTGAGAAGGAAGACATACCCAAAACAGCATTTAATACGGAAAATGGACACTACGAATATGTAAGAATGCCATTTGGGCTTAAGAATTTTCCGTCCATGTACTAACGCATGATGGACAACGTATTAAAAGGACTTCATGGAGAGATCTGTCTCGTCTACATGGACGACGAAATCGTGTATTCAACATCACTGCAAGAACATTCATAATTTATGCTAGATAGCAAAGGTCTCTAGGTGACAAAGGAATAATTAGCGCATGTATTAAAATTCAAATTTACTATAACAAAACATATAAACTACAGTACAGTAAAATATAAGTATGGTATATAGATACGTACATACAAAATAATCATTAATTTAAATATATAATCATGCATACAATACATATAATAATAGATAATCTATTCAACAGGTTTGTTTTACTTCTTTTATACGGGTTTTGACTTCTATAATTTAGGAAACAAAACGAAGTGAATTGAAATAATAAATTCAGTTTAATATAAACGGATATATTATTTTACAAATTTACTATGACTACAAAAAAATCAATTTGTAAATAATACATAACTCATTCAGCCAGGTTTAATTTATTTCTTTTAATTTTAGATTTGACTTCCTTAACTTTGGAAACAAAACGAAATGAACTGATGCTCTCGGCATATGTTTTTTCAAATGGAGAAATATTGACAATCATTAGCGTTTTTGAATTTCCTCCAAACGCGGATTTATATAAATGAGTTACTTTGGAATTTCTATATGGCACATGTTTATTGTGTAATAATAACATTAAAGTTTGTACAGTGGATAAACTCTTATGATCCGGCTAAATCTACATGGTTCACAGAACCAGTCCGAGATAAATTGGATTGTTCATTTTTCTTCAATAAAATTTCCAAAAAAAGGAACTTTTAATTTAATACTGTTGTTTCTCGTCTTCATATTAAAATCTAAATTGTGGTTTGTATCAGAATTCAACAGGTCCCGTACATTTTCATTGGGAGTCATTCAAGTATTACGTAACGCAATTTAGGGGAGTGACTTCAGTAAAATTTACGGTGTTTTTTAAGTTGGCAATCCTTTTCGTTTACGTTTTACGAGAAATCCCTCGATTGTAGTGTACAATATTGTTATTTTGTATGTTTTACGAGGAATCCTTCGACTATTTTGTACGTCCTTTTTATTTTGTTTTCCCATACACAGAAACAAATTGCTGTAGTTTGTGCTGTTAAAGTCAATTCATACTGTAATTTCATCAAAAGTTGAAAAAAAAAACACACGAAAGTTGATAACTGCTATGTTTCGGTGGAATATAAAAAGTTTGCAGGATCCAGCAGAACCAAATCTGGCATTATATAGCCCTCACGCCCTTGAATCGATATATTTCTGAAACAAATTCTAAGCAAGCTCGTGGTACCTAGACAGTTAGATAAAAGATCATGCAAGGTTTCACCACTTCTTGTAAGGTTGTCGGTTTATCTGTCGCCTCCACTGAAGGGTTTCAATAAGATCTCTTATAATTTCTTTTGTCAAAAGATATGTATCTCAAGAAATATGTATGATGAATAGATGATCAGAAATGGGTGAATTATAAAAGAACCATGGCATGTTCAATATGCACAAGAAAGTTCGTGAAGTTACTGGTCTGTATAATAAGAAAAACGCTAATAATCTAGTAGTTATTGCAGGAAAAGTTATCACTGATGAAAAAGAAATACTTAAAACATGGAGTAACTAAATTATTCAAAGATAACAGGCCAAATATACACAGCAATGTAAAGAGCAAGAAGGACCTCAAATTTTAAAAGCTGAATTTCTTCATGCAATAAAATGAGTCAAAACCAAGCATGCAAGTAGACCCGGCAACATACCGGCTGAACTCTTAAATATTATACAAAAGGACCACATCAGTGCTCTAGTTAAGATTTTTAAAGATGTATATGCCACTGTTGAGAAATATCTAAGGAATAACTAGAATGAAATAGAAATTCGTGGCATCAGTATTGAACAAGTAATGGAAATAAAATACCTTGGAATTACACGGTCCAGCTATTGAGATCTGGACAAAAAGTGAGAGATCAAGTACAAAAAGCAAATAGACCAGCAGAATGCCTTAATAACACTATATGGCGAAACAGACACATTAAAACTGATATGAAGTCAAGAATTTATAAAGTCGATGTAAGACCAACAATGACATATGCTTCAGAAACAAGACCCGACATAACCACAACACAAAGACCTATATGAAACCTAATTTGGGTTTAGGAATGGGCTGGGTAGGAATATGATAGAGATCTTGTATCATAAAACACTTATACAGGTAGCAATCGTACGAGTTAATGTAATGCCAACGAATGATACATTCAAAGAGGCGTCAGACAAAAATGCATTTATCTCCGTTGTTATTAATATATACTCGGATATAATTTTCAAACAGGCCTTGCAATATAACCTTGGAATGAAAATCAATGATGAACTGATCAGTAATCTTAGATAGGCTGACAACACTGTTATGCGATAGCCTTTAGGGCTTTTAAGTTTTCCGAATACTAAAAACTATTAAAATGAGAAAGATTTCATACCTACGGAATATTCTTAAGCTAAGTTTAAATATGAGACAATACAGTCTCGAGACTACACTCACAAATGTATATGTCTGTCACAACTTGTCTTAGAGACAAGTTGTGACTTGTCGTCGAGACTGTGCTTGTCACAAGTAGACATGCTTATTTCTGTAGTCGAGATCTAATCTCCAATCTTCTGTTTATGCCATAAGAGCTGAGACTATTCTCAGGTTGGTGTTTAGTGAAAAAGTAAATATTGACCTGTTAAAAAATAAGTGGACGACATTGGATCGATGATGAAATTTTGAAATTAATATCTGTTAGAAATCAATTAATATCTGTGAAGAAAAGGAATTCTTGTGGAATGTTAATCACAAGTTATACAGAAATCGAGCAAAAAATTAGTATGTATGATGAATTTGCCACAAAATTTAATAAATGTGATGCAAAAGAAATAAAAAGGAAGTTACACAAGTTAGGAATCAGAATGATAATTATATCATTTTAATAATTATAATATTTGTACTGAAGCTATTTTCTTGTGACATCTAATGCAATCACTATTATTATTGGGACTATATGTTGACTATCAAGTCAACACACATTTGTCTTGGTCTCGAAACTAAAGTCACCAACAAGCCTACCATGTCCATCTCTAGAACGCAAGTGATCTCAAATGGAGAACACCCTGAGACCAAACTCGAGATTTTATTTCAAGTGAAGTTCCAGTTAGAGGAGACCGGTACCGAATCCTTCAGCTTATCGTGAAACGTAAAATTTAAGGCCGCAAAGAAAACAAACATTCGCGATTGGATAAGAATAAGCACTGCCGAATAACTATTCTGATTAGCCGAAACCCGTGAACAATTTACCAATGTAACTGCCAACGTTAGAGAAACCTAATAGGGCACCGAAAGAAGAAGATATCTATCTGGTGATTGTATATATAATTTTTGTTAAGACTATGATTTTATTTTGAATAAAATGTTTTATTTTCGTTTCTAATTGTATTGCCATATGTGGAAATAGATAAGTATGTTATTTTATGAGTTTATTATTAAAAAAAGTTAAAATAAAACAGTGCATGGGAGCAATAAGATATGAAATTGTAAGACTGCCAAAAATGTAGGAATATAACGATGTGGTAAAGTAAGGAAAATGTAAAAATTGTAAGATTAGCTATAAATTTATTAGCCCGAATTAGAAATCAATTATAAAAATAATCGCAAATGCGATGAAAACAAAAACAAAGTTATTTTACTAACTTTCCGATACTTTTCGCAACATAATTGTTACTTTTAGGTAAAAAATGGTGACTTGGTCCCGTAACGTTTATGTGGGGAGAACGGGGTACTGAAAAATTTTACGGTGCGTTACATGGGTGGAACTGAAGTAAAAAATCTCAAAAATTACTTGAACGGCCCCTTTATACATCTCTAAAATCCTTAAATTCCACAATAAGGGATTTAATGAATATCAAGGAGTGTGGTGTAGTGTTATCATTGTGCTATACGATTATACTAGTTTGGAATTATTTATCTTCTACGTTTCGATGAAATTTAGAATAAAACACTTTGTTAAAGTCTCCGCAGTCACAGCCCAAACTTCAAAGAGAAATAATTTCAATTACTATCCATCAATTCAGTTCAATATAAACAAATACATTATTACACAAATTTACTATAACTACAAAAAATTCCAGTTTACACATAGTACATCCATAATTATAAACCATTCAGTCAGGTTTCATTTATTTTTCTTAATTTTGGTTTTGACCTCCTTAACTTTTGAAGCAAAACGAAGTGAATTTATGCTTTCACCATACGTTTCCTCAAATGGGGAAATATTGACGATCATTAGCGTTTTTGAATTGCCTCCCAACGATGATTGTAATAAATATGTAAGTTTAGAATTTCTATACGGCACATGTTTATCTTTATTGTGTAATGACAACATTACAGTTTGTAAAGTAGATAAACTCTTATTTATATTTTTGGTTTCGGTAAGGCGAGCTCCTTGATTTGTCTTTGCCGATTCCGACCCGGCTAAATCTACTAGGTTCACAGAACCAGTCCAAGATACATTGGTTTCTTCATTTTTCCCGTTGATAGTGATTTTCGTAACAGCGTGCGAACGTGAGCTGTGCTGGTTAACGTCTGTGGCCGCTACCGCTCTATTTTTTTGAGCCTTCTTCATGTATTTTTCAAAATCCCGAAATGAGCAAATCTTCTCAACTTTTAAATTAGAAACTGTTATCCCTCGTCCGTCATTGTATAAAATTTCTAAGTTCTGATTTGTATCAGAATCCAACAGGTCCCTTACATTTTCATTATATATTTCTAAAAAGCTGGCCGTAACCTCATACTGCCATTTACAATTTTTCAAGTCTTTAATCGTGTCGAAAATTAAATTAATAGTTCTGGGAATCATTCCTAAAATACAAAAAATAATTAAAAACATCATCATAGTAAAATTGCTCAATGAGCTGGTGACATAAAAACTATACATATAAAACATATCGTGTTGAAAAAACAATAAAAACTCGATTACCCTTCACACAACACGATGTTTACGCATGCTTCATTGATTTTGGAAAAGGCGTTCGAGAGGGGAAACACGACAAATGAATCATTCTAAAAACAAAGAACATTGATACCCTTGACTTCAAATTTATATTATCACCGCTGCTCTATTTAACAGCTTTGGAAGCATGGACCCTAAGGCAGGTGAGGCTTAAACGCTTAAAAGCCTTTGAGATGTGGTTATATAAACGACTACTACGAATAAGCTGGGTCGGCCGAGTTAGAAACTAGGAGGTCCTTAGACACCTGAACCAAACTACACAACTGGTCAATATAATAAAGAGACGCAAGCTGTAATACTTCGGTCACGTTAAAATATGAACTTTTAATCTGATCAATTAGAGAAAGATACAAGGTAACCGTGGTTCTTGTAAAAGAAGAACCTCATGGCTGAAAAATCTTGGAAAATGGTACGGAAAATCATCTACATCATTATTTAGAGGTGCTTTCAATAGAACCACGATAGGGAATATGGTAGCCAACATAAGATCCAATGACGATAACGGTCATGGAACTAGAAGAAGCTATTTAATACATACATAGAGGTCATCTTCAAAGAGACTCTAGAAAAGATGGCATGATTATAAATGGAGAAATAATTAACATCCTGAGGTATGCGGATGACACGATCATATTTACTTTAACTTTACAGACCTTGGCAGATATTACAACGACTGAACGAAAACTATCACATTCAGTTATCAATGGATAACTCATAATGCAGAGCAAATTCAAGAGATTAAACGTCGTATTGAAATCGCTAAAGCCCAATTTGTAAATATCGTAATCCCTATTACCAACAAGTTAACAACGCTCCTAATCCGAAACCAATTAGTAACACTTCGATCGAATTTCAAATCAGTACGACCGGTTGTGCCTGCAATATAGGATAAAATAAAGCAATCGTAGTTTGCGAGACGACATCTCGGTACTTCAATACAAAAGAGCCACAAGCGAGTTTTTACAGAGGATCTACGCAAAGTTTTGACCCCTATTTTTGGTTCATTTCTCTTTTATTTTATATCATTTATATGCAAGTTAAATATTATTAGAAAGGCAAATTTAAACTGTATTTGATATTGTGTTGAAATACAGCTTAAGTATTTTATTGAAAGGGATATTAGTGAGAGCGCCCACCAAAGTGGCGTGGCAGTGGCAAGTAGCAAGTAGCACGCGTCTAGCATAATGTAACCAATGAAAACGAATGATTCAGTTTACACCAAAATGACAGTAACGTCATTCATTCTAATCATTCGTTAGGATTGGTTACATTATGCTAGACGCGTGCTACTTGCTACTTGCCACTGCCACGCCACTTTGGTGGGCGCTCGCCCTTAGCAGACATGTCTCTTTTGTATCAAAATATTTGTTGTCATGATCTTCTTGTACTGCCTATCCGTTTCGAACGTTGGCGACCATCATAGCAATCTGTATTTTGCAAACTGCTGTTCTGAAAAGATTTGTGGTTGTTGTGTTGAACCACGTACGTAGATTTTTCAGTCAGGAAATACTTCGCCTTCCTCGTACCCGTTTTCCTTGTAGAATTAACTGCAGCAACCCATATCTTTCGCTGTTCCTCATGATGTGACCGAGATATTCGGTTTTGGCTGTTTTTATTGTGGTTAACAACGCTTTTGATTTTTGCATTCTTAATAAAACGTCCTGGTTAGTAACGTAGTGGGTATATCCTGAGGATTCGACGATAAAGCCACGTTTTGAAAGCGTCAATTTTCTTGCAGGTAGCGTCTGTGAGAGTCCACGACTCAACTCAGTACAACAGTATAGGCAAGATACAACATCGTAGTAACCTGATTTTTATGGAACTTTATTTTTTATTTTTAGGGAATGGTACCAATTTTCACTGACGTTCGTACCAAGGTAGGTGTATGTTTTTACTCTTTCTATTGATTGACCATTTACACTGATTCTTTCAATTTGCTGTTCCTTCTTAGAGATCATCATACATTTTGTTTTCTTAATGTTCAGTAAAAGTCCATATCTCTGACTCAGTTATGTGATTCTATTCATTAACTCCTGGAGGACTTCATAACTGTCATAATTCTCCGTTAATTCAAATTCCGGCTTCAACATCCTCTACCGTTTCTTGAAAGATTTCCTCAGAGTATATGTTAAACAGCAAGGGTGATAGTATACATACCTGTCGGACCCCACGTCTGATTTTGATATCATGGGATTCTCCTGCCTCTGTACGGATAGACGATGTTTGATTCCAGTAAATATTGCTAATAATTCTTAGATCACAGGTGTTTATTCCAATATTTGTTAATATCTCCATCAGCTTGTAGTGTCTTATTGTATCAAACGCTTTATGGTAATCAATACAGCATGCATAAATATCGCAATTCACATCTCTACATCGTTGAAATAGTACTTGTATTCTAAAGAGAGCCTCTCGCGTACCCAGTGCGTTCCGAAAATCAAACTGTGTACGGCTGACTTTTTCTTGGCATAGCCTATATATCCTTTGATGTATGATTTTTAGAAATAACTTTAAAATGTCATGATACGTATTTAAAATAAAAGGGCACATACCAAAGAAACAAACATTTTAATAAATGATTTTGTCATTAATTTATATAGATTTTAGTAAAAATTTTACAAAAAAAAAATGTGGCAACGTCAGTCTATAAAAACAAAAAAAAGTTAATTATAAAACTAAATAATAGGATCGGTTTCTGAAACATAATAAAAGTCTATCTTAAATTACAACTAGTTATTCTCAAGTTATACATAGATAGGTACTGATAACTTATTAAAGACACTTTAAAAACGACCTATTATGTTTACTTATACAAGGTACAATTTAAAACCAGCTAATAAAAACACTGTCACATTTTGTTCATAATTTGTACTCATTGAACATTATTAGTTAAATCAACAACTAGAAATAATAAGAAATCACGATAAAAATGAATTAACTGTATATAAAAATCTGTGTAACTCTGTACTTGAACATCAGTCTTAAAGATTGAAAAAGAATATGTTTCTTTGGTTGTGCAATTTTCAGCTTCTGAGAATATATTCTCTTTGGTGTAATATCAGAATTACTAGAATTTTGTTGTCTTTTTTCAATGTCATCACATATTTGAACGCTTCATCTTGATAAGAAATCTTACACGAAAATTTGTTAATTTTTTGTTTTTCAATGTGAATTATCTTTATTTCACACCATTTCAACCTACCTCCATCTTCGTTAGTTGTGTAGTTTCCACAAGCGTGTTGTTATAAAAGAAACTTTCATGGGTCAGTTCTTTCACTGAATAAGGTGACCTTTTTTCTTTGCAGTTTTTATTAATGTTATATATTGGTCAGGCACATAAATTGGAGAAGATAGTTCCAGGTTTTGAAGGTAACTGTTGGTGTTCAGTTAACTGCCTTAAATTAACATTAGTTTGATCTGGCTCAATGCCACCCTTTAGTGAATCGTCTTTACTTTAAAAGTTGGGATGCTTAACACTGTCATCTGAAGAGAAATCAGACCTGGAGCTGCTTGAAGATAAAGTATCGCTATAATATTCTGTTTCCTTAACTATTACCTTAGTTTTGTTTTGGACTTTTGGGAGTGCATAGGGACTAATTCAAATCTTTCTCAAAAACGCACCCCGTTATAAATAGTACCACTACGCGGTGTTTTCATATTTCGGGGTCCATTAACCATATGAAATAATTAAACCCCTTTTCAATTTTATTAAACCTATTGAAAGTACTTTCAATAGTCAAACTCTTTCAAAGTACATAATCAATAATCGAATATGAACTCTTCTTTTTTTTCTAATGGCGCTACAGTCCTTTATGAGTCCTGCCCTGCTTAACAATGTTCTTCCATTCTGCCCTGTCGGATACTTTCATTCGTGGAATCAAATACTGAAGTGCTGAAGGATAAACCACTCAACAAACTTGACACTGGATGATAGTAGACTGCTCTCAAAGTCCTTGAGGACCAAGAAATATCGACAGTGACTTTTCTAGATGTGGAAGAAGCGTTTAACAACTTCTTGCCGTGACGGAAGCGCTGAAAATCATGTGAGTGGACAAAAGGAGCTTTAACAAATCATTTAGGCGACGAGCCATTGTTAAGGCGAGGGTAGGAAGTGGTTGCCGACAGGGATGGGTGGGCTCCATCCCTGTCAGCAACTGGGAATTGTTATTTTCATTATAAAAGGTTCATTCAACGAATTCGAAAACTACATTGACTTTACTTTATGTAGGTGATATAAAATTACTTGCTTACCCATGTGCACGGGGTTCTCGGAGCCTTGCATAGTATAAGTTTTGCCAGATCCAGTTTGCCCATATGCGAAAACACACACATTGTACCCATCAATAGCAGATTGAACTAGTTGAGATAATTCTACAAAAAATTCTTCCTGTGTCGCACTTTCCTGAAAAACTTGATCAAAAGTAAATTCCAATTTGGGATCCGTTGATTTCGGCGTTGTATTGGGAGGCTGCGTAGGTCGAATTTCTATTGTACTTTCATTTACATAATTTATCCAACATTTTGATTTTTCATTTTCAGCTTCATTAATCGGAGGTCTAACTCTACAGAAGACTCTAATATTACCTAAAAATGAACTCCTGAGTAAAATATGGTTTTAAACAAATATAAACAATGTTATTAAATGCTAGGTTTAATCTATTATTGTGACACTGCGATTTTGTTACTTTAAAGTATGTACACTAAAGGAAAGGTATGAAATGGAAGATGCAATGGCTACGAACTACGTAGAAGAGAATGAAGTAGATAATGGAATAGAAGCTCCAACCATAGAGCAAGTTCTCGAAGCTATTAAGGCATAGAAAAACAATAAATCTCCGGTAGTTGACAAAAACCAGCAGAATTGTATAAGGTAGATGGCGACCACCTAGCAAGTCATATCCACGCGTCCATTAAACACATATGGCAAGAAGAGAAAATACCTGACGACTGGAAGGAAAGTATTGTATACCTGATCTATAAAAAAGGAGACAAACTCCAGTGCAAAACTACCGTGGAATTTCTTTACTATGTACAGCATATAAAGTCCTCACATATATTATAAACCAGCGGCTCCAACCACTAGCAGAAAATATTATTGGAGAGTATCAGACGAGCTTCCGACAGGGAAGATATAAATCTTCTAATCTAAGATCCAGACACTGGATCAAATATTTACAGTCAAACAGATCTTGAGTAAATAATGGGAACATGACATTGATATTCACAACATGTTGGTCGATTTCAAACAGGCATAACGACTCAGTCAAAAGGAATAAACTCTATAATATATTGGCTGAATTGGCGATACCACACAAGTTAATTAGACTCATTAAAGCCACAATGGATGAAACTCAGGCATGTGTACGAATACAAAACCACCGAACAGACTTTTTCAAAATTTCGCAGGGATTAAAGCAGAGAGATGGGCTGGCCCCAACTTTGTTTAATCTGGTACTGGAGTATGCGGTTAGGCAAATGCAAACTGGACGAGGAAACCTACTGACCAACCGAATGGTTCAACTGGTCGCTTATGCTGAAGATATTAATATTATGAGTAGAACATCAACAGGAGCACAGGAAACATATGCAGAGGTAAAAACGCAAACAAAAATGCTAGGTCTGGAAATTAACACAGAAAAAAAAAACAACAATAATGATACAGACAAGAAGAAATATAGTCCCACAAAACATTATACATGAAGATGACATTGAAGCGGTTGGAAAGTTTACATACCTGGGAGTAGAAATATATGCCGACGGATCAGAAGATGGAGAAATACGGAAGAGAATAACGCAGGCAAACAGAGCTTATTTTGCCCTCTCCCATATTTTTCGGTCTAAAATGTCCACCGAAATACAAAGATGAGAAAACCTTTGTATTTCGGTCTAAAACCTTAATTTGACCAATAGCATGCTATGGCAGTGAAGAATGGATCCTGAAAGAAATATCCAAAAGCAAGCTAGATACATTCAAAAGGAAAGTACTCTGAAAGGAATACTAAGACCTGTGAGGGAAAACGGAATCTTCGGAAGTCGATAAAACAACCAGCTTTATCAACTTTATAAGGAAGCACCACTGTCAGACTTCATTAGAATACAAAGATTACAATGGGCCGGACATGTGATAAGAATGGGAGAGGATGGGTTACCAAAAAGAGCACTGAATGCTAGTATGCAGGGAAAGAGACTGGTTGGAAAGCTAAGAAAGCGCTGGGAAGACACAGTAAACAGCGACGCACAAGCCCTTTTAGGAGTCCGTGTATAGAGAAGATCAACCACAGACAAGCAAGGGTGGAGGCAAAAAATAAAGGAGGTTAAGGCTAAATTGGGGCTGTAGTGCCGTAGAAGAAAAAGATGTACACTAATGATTGTCACTTGAATTTGTTTTTCATGCTGAAATTATGCTGTCTTACTCTGTATCCAATTTACATTCAAAAGTTAGAAATATGTGCTTATTTGAGGATTACTCCTCTAATACTTTTATATACAATTGTGGGTTGAATTTACCGAAAGTACAAGCTAATTATAGCCGCAAATGTCAAAGATGGAACAAAAAATTTCGGTATAGAAGTGTTGTCATGTTTTTATAATGTAGATGCTGTATAGTGTCTACGAGGACTTGACAAGTCCTCGTAGACACTTTGTCTCAGGACCAAGTAACCTCATGTAGATTCGTATGTTGCCATGTTACCAATTCCACTGGAAAATTAAACATCTTAGTTTTTAAGAACATATAATGTAACAGAAATTTAAATTAACAACATTTAACGGGTTTTTACCCAAATATTTTAGTGGCTCAAAACATGTATACTTAGTTACACTGATGATAGAATACACATTCCGAAAACGTTTTGTAATTGTGATATAACCCGTTTGGGTATTTTATTATATGCCTTTTATAAAGGATTTTAAATAAAAAAATTTGTGATACATGGTATACAGCCAGCTGCAGGAACTTGTTTCCTAGTTGATTTTAAAGTTTTCTTTGTTATCTATACATACTTATAACATATTTGCAATCTAATCGATAATATTAATGGAATTGTTAATTGGTTTTCAAGTGCATTTAACAACAATTTATGTTTGTACGTAAGATTAACGAAAAACGTTGTTTGAAAGAATTGGTTAATTTGGAGTTCCTAAAAAATGTTAAAGTACTTACTGGGAAATTTGAAGAAGTTGAAATGAAGAAAGAGGCATATTTGTTTTGACCAATGAAAATGAAGGAAAGTTATTGATGTAAGGGGGTGTTAAGCCAAGAGAGTTTTTGTAATGAAAGAAAACGACAGTGAGTGTAGAGAGTTGATTCCCGATAGCTGAAAGGAGCAGATAATTTTATAGAAGAAAATGGGACAGCGAGGAAAATACGCTAGATAATGCTACGTATTTTAGAAACGATATATTTACAAGTGAGCTACAACAAAAAGGAATAGGCACTGTATTTACAAGCATCAGACATCCTCAGAGCACTATATACAAAAGATATATACAGGAAGTAACAAAGTTTTTACGAATGTCATCTAACGGACAACATACAGGATGGAATAGAAAGATGGAAGAAGTAGAAGAATACATAAACTCTATTCCAAACACAATCACCAAACAATCTCCAATGTATGCGATGAAGGGAAGAATGTCACCTAGACCATGGGAAGAACCAACAGAAACTGATATGAAGGAGTAATAAACAAAGTAAAGTAAATAAACAAGATTAAGGAGATGTGGAGAAAAATACATCCAAAGAAAGCAAAGACAATTGCGAAGAAGACCTGTAACATTTCAACAAGGCGATAAAGTAATGGTAAGAGCATTGAGAGTGTCCAATTTGAATAACAGTGTTTGTGAGAAATTGCTGCCAGTATTTGAAGGTCCATATGTCGTGCAAACAGTAGATGGTGTAAACAGCTACATATTATGGCATATAGAGAATGGCAATATTAGGGGCATACTTAACACCAATGATATATACCGTTATTTTGAATGAAAAAATTTGCAGAGACATGTAAATAATTAGGATAGATAATTATAGAAATAGTAGATAGGATATAAGCAAAATGATTGAGTATTTTGGGTCTGAAAAAATTTTTTCTTTTCAATCTCAATTTATTTTCACACCCAAGGCGGGGAAGTTATTGTAGATAAATAAAGGCAGAGAAGAAGAAGAAAATATATCTATTGTGTACATAAAATTTGTCATTTTGTAATACGTTAAAGTAGTTTTTTAAAAAATATTTGTTTCTTGCATTTAAAATGTAAAATACCTATTGCTAACATATTTGTAATCTAATCGACAATATTCATGGAATTGTTTATTGGTTTTGAAGTGCATTTAAGATCAATTGGTGTCTGAACGTCAGATTAACAAAAAAGGTTGTTTGAAAGAAGTCGGGAATTTGGATTTCCTAGAAAATGTTAAAGTACTTACGACTGGGAAATTTGAAGACGTTGAAATGAAGAAAGATACATATTTGTTTTGACCAATGAAAAGGAAGGAAATTTATTGAAGGGGGTGTTTAAGCCAAGAGAGTTTTTGGAATGAAAGAAATCGACAGTGAGTGTAGAGACAGTGTAGAGAGTTGATTCCCGATAGCTGAAAGGAACAGTTTGAGTTTAAGAAAAAAAAGTAAAAAAGTGTCCATCTTCATTAACCGTAAGCCTTGTAGGCATCCGTAAAAGTAACAACTACAAAGTACTATTTTTTGAAAAGTTAAAATTAAATTCAGTGATAAGTGATAGCAGTTGTAAGACTCACACAATAGTATCCGACATCGTAAGTACAAATTGCTTCAAGATATACCTCTATATTTCTATATATCTATACTGATGTGACTTAGTTTGCTCATTACAGCTCCTTGGTTTTTAGCAACTCTTTTTTATGGGTGGGTGATGGTTCTCTCAAGATCCCTTTTTACCCTCAGGTGTTGGCCATTCTCCCGCTTTGGTTTTATTGGGATTTGCTGTGGTCAATGTCCCATCAGCCATGTTTGTATCTTTCTTTGTCCTCTTTTGTTGAGCTCCAGAAAGGCAGTTTTTAATACTTCGTGCAGAGTCTATTACTTTCAGAACAACTGCTGGCTGAGTATTTGGGGCAGATACAGAATCAGTAACTGGAGTTCCTTCTCTGACTGTTCCCATTATCTGAGTGTTTTTATCTGATTGTCCATATACATTCCCACAAGTTGGAATGAAATACTGTCAGGCACAGCAGTTTGCCATACCATGCCAAGGCAATAATCTCCCAGAGTTAGCCAGCTCTCTGGGGCCTATCTGACCATATAATGAGTCAGTTGTGATGCAACTGTCTGTGATTTTCTCATTGAGTGTTGTGTGTGTGAATGTGATTTGTGTAGTTGTTTGTTTGTGGTTTTTGTGTGTATGTGTGTGCCATGTTCAATTGACAAATTTACAGTAATGAGACAGTTGCAGCCCCCAAATGTTCTCATTTGATCCATGGGTATTATTTTGGTTATACCTTATTCGCATCTGTCCTATTTTACATAGGACACCCCCTATTAGTCACGAGTATGTACTGTGTCATGGATTACAACATTTCCATGTATCTACACATATACACATACATTATA